GTTTCTAGAAGTGTGTTTGCAAGTGCAGAGTGTGATTAAAAAAAAAACACACAAATCCTTTAGCAAGGCCTCTGGCCTTGAGCTGGGCTTCACAGAGATGTCTACATTTCTAAGATAAGAGAAGTTACCCATTGGGCTCCATGGTAACAGCTGGCAGGGGAGGAAAGGAAGGGGAGAAGAAGCTCTCCCCTTCTCAGGCACTGTCCTTGAAGGGTTAACTTGCCCAGAACGGTGAAAAGCTGCTTTTATGTGAACTTCTGCAGGCTGTGAACTTCTGAGCCCCTCCCCATACATTCTGGGTATAAAGTTCTGCAACTACCTGAACTTGGGGTTCAGGGGATTGATTGATTTCAGCAAAAGCTCTGCCCTCTGAACCTGGCTGCAGCCACATAAAACTGTTTCCTGCTGTCTTGGGTCCCTGGCCTCGACTGTCCCTACAACAGAAACATCAAGTGTTAGGGAGAGGAACCAGGGGAGAGGGGAAAGTGGGAAAAGCGGTGCGGGTGCCCACAGGCTGCACCAGTTCAGGCCAGCAGGGCTGACTGATATCGGGGCAGGACAGGCCTGAAGCACACAACAGTGGCCACTGGATAGAGCAGACACCAGGGAGCTTCTGCAGGATGATGAAGGCAGAGAAAATTCACTCTCCAAGGGACCAGCCAACCCAGGGAGGAGAGGAAGAATATGGAAATGTAGAAGAAATGGTGCAGGTCAAGTTTCCACAAGAGCTGGACAGTGGAGGAGACCCGGCGGCACACGGGGCCTGTGCACCTGCCCCTGGCAGCGACACAGGGTGCCAAGCCAGGCGCAGGTGTCCACGCAGGTGAAGCCAGGAAAGAACAGTGGAGGGACACAGGAATCACAGCCGGCTGTAGAGTCACCTGGGAGGGCACCTTGCTGTGAGCACCGTCAGGAGTCTGAACCACCACAAAGAGTGGACAGAGCTTTCAAGGCACAGGGTCAGTGGAGAGGAGGGTCCACACTGGTCTCAGGCTGGGCCTCCAAGTTGGAAGTCCCAGGAACCAGTTCTGGTTCTGCAAGGACGGCATGCCCCAGGTGAATTGCTTAAAATCTCTGAAGCATGATTTTTATTTTTTCAAATGGAGATAATGATCTAATTCCTGGGGGTTATGCTGAGTTCAAGGTACAAAGCTCCTTACACCAGAAACCACACAACTGAAAGGACCAAGGAGCAGCCTGCAAACTGCAGCTCCCCAGGGTGGGAGGACACTGTGGTGACTGAAGTGGTTTATTTATGAACATTCAGCCAACCACATACTCAGTGAATGAAGGCAGACGACAACCGGTCAGATGTGCTGAAGAAATGACCTCCACCAGACTGACACGGAGAGGGGCTGGGGGACTTCCTCATACAGCAGGACACAGGGTCCCGGAGTCACAGCAAGGCCAGGAACGACGTGTCAGTGGGTGCCCACCCAGAAACAATTTCACCATTTTACTATTTTCGTTTAATAAATTAGTCACCCTGTGCATCCTGGGTATGAAAACTGCTCTGTGGTGACAGATCAGTGATTGGTGGGCAGGGAGGGGCTGACGCTCAGGGGCACCGGGAACTCTGGGGTGGAGAAAGCGTCTTACGTCCCGTTGGGGTGCTGGTTTCACAGGTGTACACAACTGTCAACACTCGCTGACCCAACAGCTCAGTTGCTGCAGCCTCTGATTCCATACTGGTCCTCAGGTAGCCTTTTGTCATAAGAAGGCACAGAGGCCAGAGTGACACCACCCACCGTGCAGGCTTCAGGGCGAGCTCTGAGGACGCGCATGTCCTGGCTGGAGGGTCTGGTCACACTGCGTTTCACGCCTGTCGGTTCTGACCCAGGCTGCCCCGCACCTGCAGCCACCCGACCAAGGCCTGCTTCTCTTTCTGTGCGCCAGCGCATGTCCCCCTTGGAAACTTGGTATAGGTCCCTAACACATCACCATACTAGGCCTGCCCTGGCCAGCCACTGCAGTCACCTGTGTATCCTGAGTGCCATTATCATTAGGTAATGATACCTGAGGTGGACGGGCAAGAAAATGGGAAGAGAAGGGAAAAGAGCCAGCCCTGAGGGCAAGGCTCTGTGGTGGGCAGACCCCCTGGCAGCCTCTCCTTCTTCCCAGGCCAGGTGCTTAAAACACAACCAGCCGTCCATCTGGATCCAAGCCGCTCCACCGACTCTCAGGCAACGAAGACAGGAGACAGAGCCTGGGCAAGGTGGACACCTAGCAAACGGCCAACCAAGAATGGGAGACCTTCCAGTGGTCGCTAGTGGGCAGCCTGGCAGCACCATCTGGCCCACCACCTCACCTGGCAGGCCATGGGGAGATCCTAAGCACACAAAAACTATCCTCAAAAATGTTTTCGTATATCACTTACACCAGGAAATGATGTAATACGACTACTAAAGCTGCTTCCAGAGAGCCTGCACTGCATGGGGAAATGTTTGTTATAAGGCCAGAGTTAGGATACAAAGTGTCAGCATTTTTAAGAAGCACCTGTGTACTACCAGACCCCACACATCACCCCCAGGGGCTGGGATGTAGCTGTGCAGAACACCTGCGGCACATGCATGAGGCCCTGAGTTTGACCCTCAGTACCACCAGAAAACAGCAACCACCAGCATAGATAACTGGTGGGTAACAAGTGGTGCATTTCCTCCTTTGATCCCACATTTTTACATTTCTCTGTTTTCTATTACTAACCAGCATAATTTACCATTATTTTCACAGAAAAACTGTAATCGAAAAACGACTTTGAGCTGTGTTGTAGCTCAACGGTCGAGTGCTTGCCTAGCACGTGAGGCACTGGGTTTGATCCTCAGCACCACACAAAAAGTTATTGTGTCTATCTACAACTAAAACATTAAAAATAAATGAAAAGTAAAATGACTTCTGGATGTCTACAAATGAAGTGCCCCAAGATTACAAGACACAGTGCCATGAAGATGTCCCCTCCCCAGCTGATCTATCAACATGGCAAAGTCCAGTAAAAACGCGTTGCTCTCAGCTACCAAGAGTGTCTTGGCAGGAGGGAGTTCCCAGCTCTTTCATACAGGATGGGTATGCTCACCACAGACACCAACACTGGTGGAGAGAAACCACAAAGTTCCCTCGAATGTTACTAGCTTCTTGACCACATCCTGTTTCAGTTCCAAGAGTAATCCAGGGTCCCACAATGCACCGGTCTTGTGTCTCTGAGTCTCTTTCTACCTGTGACCAGTCCTGCCTCTGTGACCTTTCAACCCAAGAGGATTGTTTCAGCTGTCTGTCATCCTGCAGAGCCCCACAATTCATGCCCATCTGTTCTACGGCAGACAGAAGTAAGTTCTCCCTCACTGGGAAGAACACCAGAGGAGTGGCTGCCATAAAGCCCCCGGGAGGGACACCAAGTCAGTTTGTCCTCCTGCTAGTGATGCTGACCTTGGTCAGCTGATTAAAGTGCCATCAAATGGTCTTCTGTACTGTAATGTTGTTTTCTCTCTTTGGTGGTGTTGGGGATCAAACCAGGACCTCACTCATGATGAGCAAGCACTCTGCCCCCGGGATACACCCCAGCCCAATAGTTTTCTATTTGTAATGAAAAATACTTATTTTGGGAACTGGTTACCACCCTTTAATATAAAGGATGTGCTAGGTTCTGTTCCTCAATTCTGCCAAGAACCTGAAGCAGATAAAGGTATCTGCTGCTTTCTAAGAGTAAAACTTCTCTACTGGTCACTACCATAACTGCTGAATTCAAAAAAAAGAAAGTGAGCAAGCAAGCCTCTGTCCCAGACATTGCGACACATGAAGACACGTTGTTAATTCACATCTTTCCTTCATCAGATCATGTCAGCTTTTAAGGATTCAACACAGAAAAACAGTGAATGCTCCCCTTACAGCTCTGCTCCATCACACTCTACACTTCCAAACTTTCCATTTGTGGCCTTTTTTTTTTCCCCCTCACCAGGGATTGAACTCAGGGACACTCAATCACTGAACCACATCTCCAGCCCTATGTTGTATTTTATTTAGATACAGGGTCTGAGTTGCTTAGTGCCTCGCTTTTGCTGAGGCTGGCTTTGAACTTTGAATCCTCCAGCCTCAGCTCCCCAAGTCACTGGGATTACAGATGTGTGCCACAGTGCCCAGCTAAAAAGAGATTTTGAAGGTTAAATTCAGGAAATGTTTTATTTATTTATTTTTAAAATACATATTTTACATTTTAGTTTAAAGGATTGCAGTTCAAGTCTTTTTTTTTTTTGAGAAAGAGAGAGAGAGAGAGAGAGAGAGAGAGAGAGAGAGAGAATTTTAGTATTTATTCTTTAGTTTTCGGCGGACACACCACCTTTATTTGTATATGGTGCTGAGGATCGAACCCAGGCGAGCACGCTATCGCTTGAGCCACATCTCCAGCCCCGACTGTTTGTTTTTAAATATGTATGTATATATTAGTTTACAGTGGACCTTTACTTATTTATATGTGGTGCTGAGAATTGAACCCAGTGCTTCATACATGCTAGGCAAGTACTCTACCACTGAGCCATAACCCCAGCCCAGGAAACAACTCGATTGTACAGACAGGTTCTGAATGCTCTAAGCAGAAAAATAATGTACTGAAAAGACTGAGTAGCTCACAAAATTTCCAAAAAGGATGCAGAATACTGCAGGAAAGTCACAAGGGGGAATGGCAGGACCACAACTGAGAGCAGACTGCACATTCACACCTAGTCCTGGCAGTCCTGATGCTCAGGGCCAGCGTCTCTGCACTCACCAGCTCCACTTCAGCCTGACAGGCTGAACTCCTGATAGCCCACACGTGAGCTACCAGGAAAGCTGGGAACGGACTATTTTTTCAGCCTCTACAGGTGTTCTGCCACCACGTACACCCACAGGACAGGAAAGGATTCAGAGCCAAAAAACATACTTCTGGGGCTTTGTTTCCAAGCTCAAGATTATCCAGTAGTTTTTCAAGGTCAGAATATTCAAGAGAAAATGGAAATACATTAGAATTCCTCCAATCACATTTGAATTTAACATTGTATTTCGTAGAAACAATCCAGACTTAGACAGCCTGTTCAGGTATTGGACCAACAGCATGTCACGTTACTGTTGACCAACTACTTCACAGGAGAAGTCTCAGCAGGCTCTGTGCAGCTTAACAAGCCTCAGCCTTGCTGGCAAGATGGAGAGCATCACCTTGGTGGAATTCTGCCATTACTCCTCCTTTTCTGGAACAGCAGGAAACAAACTGTAGAAGAATCTGGAAACCTGAAGAAGATATGAGGAAACACACTCTTCACCAAGCATTCCATTCCCACCCCAACCACAGAAAAAAAATTCAACAAACAGACTCCCAGTTCACTACTTATTAGGCTGGAGAGGCAGGAGTAAGACAGAATTAACAGCAGGGAAAGTCAAATCTACAAAAAGTAAAAACAAATGAAAAAAGTGACAAGAATCCAGGACAATTTAGTTGAGTGACCCACTGTAGTGCACAAACCTGAACTGAAGTGACTTGAGATACGGTTCCTAAGAAGCTGGGATTCTATGTTGTACGGAAGAAGGTGGGACATTCACTTTATAAATAACTGAACCAACAAAAAAGACAAGCAGGCACCAGGAGCAAAGAAAGGACAAGATGAAGCCAGGCTTAGGCTCTTCACCCTGCAGACAGCAGGTGGTGAACTACCAGGCTATCTCAGGCCCCAGAGGCAAGAAACTTGGATTTCTTTTCTTTCTTTTGTGGTGCTGGGGATTGAACCCAGGGTCTTGTGCATGTGAGGCAAGCACTCTACCAACTGAGCTACATCCCCAGTCCAAGACTTAGATTTCTCTTAAGGGAAAACATGTATGTACTGGACTGAGTGCTCCTGCCATGCTCTGGTAAATCCCCCACCTGTGGCCTAAAGCACACTATAGGACACTAAACAAACAGGAATCACAGTGAGCCCTTAAACCAAGATCTTGTAAAGCATAAAGTTCCTTTTTGGGTGAGGGAGTTAAAGCACTGAGGATTGAACCCAGGGGTGCTTTACCCAAGAGATACATCCTCAGCCCTTGTTATTTTTTGAGGCAGGGTCTAAGGAGCTAAAGGACTTGCTACAGTGCTGACTTTGGCCTCAAACTTGCAATCCTCCAGTCTCAGCCACTGTTGTGATGGGCAAAAAGTGCAGAATAGAGCAGGAAAGTCACAAGGCAGAATGGCCGGGGCCGCAGCTGAGTCCAGGGGGAGAAATAAAGAATGTCCATCCACTTCTGCCCTTTTCAATGCTTAAATCACTCAATACAATTTCACGATATAGGTTCTTAATCAAGAAAATGACAATCCTTAATGCTAGGCATTGCAATAGACATAATCAATTCACAGCTAACAATTCTAGATTAATTAATTCAAGCAAACAATTCTAGGTTAATTCTAAGCATTGCAAACACACTTAATCATGACAGTCTAGTGATAGATTCTCCCTCTGTGTGCTAAGTTCAAGTGTCAGATCAAAAATCTTAAACCCTAGGCTTTTAAGTCCAGCAGATGCTCACACACTCAGACCCTGGTGATCAGGTCAGGAAAGAAGGCAGGTTTTTCCTGGGGTGGAGCTGATGGCGATTGAGAAGGCAGTCCTAGGGAGAAGTTGTGGCTCTCACCAAGGTCAAGATGTGGCTGTTGAGTTTGAGGGAGTGAGGACAATGCAGCAGTTGTGTGCTTTCCAGCTTGTGTGCATCAGTATCAGCTGGCTGAATGTCTTGTTCATTTGCTCTATTATTTATACTAAATTTTGGGGCTTTTGACCCCCCCCTTTCTTTTTTTTATACATGATAGTAGAATGTATTTTTTTTTAAAAAGAGAGTGAGAGAATTTTAATATTTATTTTTTAATTATCAGCGGACACAACATCTTTGTTTGTATGTGGCGCTGAGGATCGAACCCCATTACGACTGCCAGGCAAGTGCTCTACCGCTTGAGCCACATCCCCAGCCCTTGACCCCCCTTTCAATCCTTATCAGCTACCACTGGATTTCTCAGGGACATCATTTACCCCGCGGTTAAAACATCTGGTACTGTGGTCCCCACCCTGATCTTTTCCACCTTTCCCTCTGGCAGCCTGCCAGAGGCTTCATTCTTTGAGTTTATCAGGGTGGGAGAAGTGACTTGTTGGTGCCTGAGGGCCAAAGGTGCCTGGTGAGACTGCAGGTTTCAAATTGGAGTTTTAAAATGGAGTTGCTTAGGCTCAGGCCTAAGGCCATCCTCACAACCTCCCAAGTTCCTGGGATTACAGGCCTGTGCCACCATACCCAGCAATAACTATTTTTAAAGACAACTTTTGTTTCCTAACATGAATTCCAGCATTCACTATGCTTGTTGAAGTCCCAGTTCTAACTCCCATTTCCAACCTTTCCGAGAATCAGAGGGCCAGAGGAATCCCCAAGTTAAAATTCAGGGTTTCCAGTATTAATCCAGAAAAGAGGAAGGGGTTTCAGTTCTGTGGGGGAAGGACCCAGACGTTGAGTTCACCGAGGGGACTCCCGGTAGGCCGACCATGGCTATCTTCTCCAGCCATCAAGAGTGCTCCAAAACGCTGAGAAGTGTCACACCTGCTCCTCTACTCCCTTTCCTGCTTCGCACTTACCGGATCTCACCTCCCTTCTCTCCCAAGAGGGGAGCATGCTGAGGAGGAGCTCGCCACTCCAGAACGAACTCCTTCTTGCCACCCCTACCTGGGGACCCAGGTCCACCTACGGGAGATGGGCCTCGCAGGCTCCCCCGGCACTACACAAAGTGGAACGGCGGCCAGTACCGGCCGGCTGGCGGGAGAGGGCCGTGCGCCTCGGGCCCGTGCCCAC